CCAAAACCCAGGGTGCCTACTGGCGGCTGACAGCCATAGCTACACCTTTTAAATGCAAAAAAAAGGGGAAAAAACAACGTAGAAACAAGAAGAGAAGACAAAATATATTCTCAATGAGAATTTATAATTTCAGAAGAAAGAATCATAATCCTTACGGGGTGATTTCTTTAACTGCAAATTTTGACAACTTGAGAATTGTACCAAGGGCTCAGGAACCTGAGAGAATATAAGCATAATCATGATATTGTTTAAGAACTTGTTTTCACCTTATGTGAAAGGGAAAAGTACAGATTAAAGGTAAACCTGACCTTCCATTATTCCACCAGTTAGGATTAAGAAGCATCCTAGAGGCAGTATAAATGCAGATGCATTGGTGGGAAGAGTATAAATACCACAATAAGAAGATATTTTCATATTAATCAGGAAAAAATCTTGCCAGAAGATTCACTTTCTTTGTACATTTCATTTTCAAAATCCATCTCCATGATGTTATTTGGCAAAACATCAGAAGGCCATGAAGTATGAAGAGGTGACACTTCTTTGCTTCTTTTGTTCACTGCATAGTCCTGAAGCTTCATATCTTCACTGAGCAAATCTAGTATAAAGTATATGCTTTCCAAACTAACATGTGAAGTATCTCCCATAACAAACTCATGGACCATACATTCTAATTCTATCCAACTGGAACCTCGATTCTTTCTAACATGATGCTTCCTAATCATTGCTCTAACTTTAGCAACTCCATCCCACCTACAAGCAGCAGCATAAGTATTGGATAAAAGAATATAATTACCAGAATTATCGGGCTCAATCTTAAATAATTCAGCCGCCGCAACTTCAGCCAATTGAACATTGCGATGGATCCTGCAGGCTGCAAGCAAAGCACCCCAGATAATTGCATTGGGCACTATGGGCATGTTGCATATAAAATTATATGCCTCCTGAAGGCATCCAGATCGACCAAGAAGGTCAACAACACATGCATAGTGTTTTTCCGAGGGTTGCACACAATATTCATTTATCATTTGCTGAAAGTACTTCAGGCCATCATCAACAAGGCCCCCATGGTTGCATGCACTCAAAACCCCAAGAAAAGTTATTCCATCGGGTTTTATGTTTTCTCTTTGCATCTCCTGAAACAAAGTTATGGCATCTTGACTTAATCCATGGTTTGCAAAGGCTGCAATCATGGTGCTGTAACAAAGTAAATCCTTTTTAGAAGCCATCTTGAACACTTGAACAGCCCTTTCAATGCTTCCACATTTTCCGTACATGTCTATCAAACTGGTGACTAGCCTAAGGTTAGAAAGAGTGGTAGGTCCCGAAATATCTGAAAAAACTGATTCAGCTGCATCTATAATCCCTAACTGCGAGCAAGCTGAGATGACTGCCAGTATGAAAGTTTCATCCGGTTTTATGTTTGCCTCCTTGAAGTGTTTGCACAATTCCAAAGCACCATGGGCCTGCCCATTTCTGGCATAACCTTCAATCATAATAGACCAAGAAACCAGATTCCTCTCAGGCATCTGATTGAATAAAGACCTTGCGCTGTTAACATCTCCAACTTTCATATAGCCATCTATCATTATGGTCCAAGATGCAACATTTCTGGTAGGCATTTTACTAAAATATTCTTTTGCAGCTTCAATGTCCCCCACTCTGGAAAATCCTGAGATCATCAAATTCCAAGTCCCAACGTCATGAGTAGGCATTGAGTCAAAAACCTGGGAAGCAGCAACGACATCACCAGCATCCATGTAACCAGAAACCATCACCTTCCATGAGGCCAAGTCTTTGGTGGGCATTCTTTCAAAAAGAATGCCTGCCTCCACCATGTTACCATCTTTAATATATCCACATATCATGCTCGTCCATGAAATCACATTCTTCTCTGGCATCTCATCAAAAAGCTTGCGTGCAAATTCAACCCTCCCATTGTTCGCATATCCAGAAATAATACAATTCCAAGAAACGGCATCCTTTGCTCCAATCTCAGAAAATACTCTTCCCGCAACCTCAACTTCGCCGCATCTCATGAACAAGTCAAGCACTGCATTTTGCACAATTACGTCGCTATCAAAGCCATATTTCAACACAACCCCATACACTGTTTCTCCATCTCTCACACTCTTTTCACGAGCTAAAGCCTTGAGAACAGATGCGATAGTAAAATTTAGTGGCGCTACCGACTCTCCAAGCATTCGGCCAAACAAAGAAAGAGCTTCTGAGTACTGACGATTGTCCACGCAACCATGAATTAAAGCTGTCCAAATAAATGCATTTGGTTTCGGAATTTCATCGAATATCTTGCGAGCGTAATCAGCGGCATTAAAACGAGAGTACAGCCTTAGGAGCTTGTTGACGATAAGGTCCGACGAAGCTATTGACCCTTCTACTAGAAGACGAGAATGAATTGATTTCAGAGATAAAAGAGACTGGGTTTTGTTGAGGAGTTGTAAGAGAGATTGAGTCATTTCATTTCATATCATGGCGCCAAAACCATGAGAGGTACTTGCACAAAATCAAAAATATTCACATTCTATTTCCATTTATTATATCATTTTTAAATATAATTTAGTTATAATTTGAAGTATAATTAAATTTTTTATCTTGTAATAATAAATTTAGACTTTCACTTTCTAGGAATGATTCATGAAAAGGCGTCACTTAAAGTGAAAATAGGATTAATGTATAATTATTATAATTAAATGACTCTACTTTACTTGTAACGGCCCCGGAAAATATAAAAAGAAATAAGTATTTAAATATATCGAATGCGGAAACGAGATCAAAATTTCAGTTAACATCCCTTACACGAAAAACCAAAAAAACGTACTTAAAATATAAAAGGTTAAACTAACTAAGAAAGAAAACTCGAAAATAAACTATGCGTATGACTACAGAGTCTCTAGGCATCCCCTTCGTCGTCCTCCTGCGGAACGGGCTCGGGAACCATGTCTTCCTGATCTGAAATGGTTAATTAAGGAGTGAGCTACACTAGCCCAGTAAGAACATCACGATATCTCACCGTCACGGAGATAAAGGTGGGTAGAAAAACACAAAAAAGACCAATGGAGCATAATTTACAACAAACTCGTTTATTAACATGAAAACCTTTACCATCCACTTACCTTGGTGGAATTTATGAAAACAATATGAGAAAAACAATAACATTATCATAATCATTGAATAATCTAAGCTGTAAAACATAACACTTATCACGCCTCTTGTAATTCAATCATTGTACAACATATCTTTTTCTCATTTACCAGCCTACTAGTATCCGTGGGGGTCCATAGGGGTTCCACTACCCGTTAACCTTTAACATTCATAATCAGTTTCCAGGACCGTCCCCATACCCCGTCCGGTATGGGCGCCAAAACCATAAACCTCAATACCCCGTCCGGTATGAGGGTGAAACGGGCCGTCCCCATACCCCGTCCGGTATGGGCGCCAAAACCATAAACCTCATTACCCCGTCCGGTATGAGGGTGAAACGGGCCGTCCCCATACCCCGTCCGATATGGGAGACCACAATTCCGGTAGGGTTCCCTACGGATCCGGTCCGTCCACCATCTCCCAGGATATCTAGTCAGGCTGACCACATTATACAATTACCCATTTACATAATCTTTCATTTTCCTTTTCCTCAATAAGCATCATCAATTCACATTTAAACAAGCAAATCGTAATTCATGCCGAACAGACAACATACAGTATCAGTTCTTCAGTCATTCAACCCATAATTAATAAAACAGTAATATATGCATTCGAAATTATAAAATGAACACATCAAACCCCATAATGCATTTAAAGCTGTAAAACAGTGTAAAACATGCCAAACAACAGTAAATCATTAATCACACTAGACTCGGGCTCCATTAGCAACCTTAAGCAATTTCACACATGCGTTAATTCAAGAAATACCGTTTTATCATTTTGAACTTTAATACCGTGATAGGAAATAGGGTGAGGGGTCCTTACTTGTTTTCGGGATCCGAATACGATTCACAGTGCGCCTGCAGGCTGTCCCTAATTTTCCCTGAATTTTTCCCGGGGAACTGAAACACGCTAACAGTACCTGCACGGGTTCCAAAAAAAATCCAAATTAGGCCCAGGGCCTCTTTCGGCCCAAATCGCAACTCCGGCACGGCGGCTCCGCCGTGCTCCGGCGACGGCGCCGCTGCTGGCGGCGGCGAGTCGCCTCGGGTTGACTGTTTTCGGCCGTTTTTGGCCGAATTCGGCCACACTCGCATTGGTCCTTGTCAGAAAACAACCCTAGGGCCCTCGGGGGGCCAAAAAATCACGGAAAAGCGGAGCTTACCGGCGGCGGCGCTCTCGGGTACGGCGACTCTCCGGCGAAGTTCGTGTTTTGGTGATTTGGCTTCGGTCAACCTGTAGAGAAAAGAATGGTGATCACGGTGATATAAAAATTGCATCGAACGGAGGCCGGGAAGGGCCTCGTCGGAGGCAAAAACCGAGAGGGGGCGCGGCGGCGCCGCTGGGCTTCGGCCGCGTATTCCGGCCGTTTGGCCGGGATTTCGGCTTCGATTTGGCCATAGGAGGAATCAGTGGGGAAAAACGAGTCGGGGGTATGAAATTTACCTCGATCGGCGGTCGGAAATTTCCCCGGTGCGGCGGCGAGTGGCGGCGGGTGGCGGCGGTCGGCCTCTGGTTCGTCTTCTCCAGCGAGCGGCTGGCGGCTAGGGTTTTTGGTCTGGTGTGGGGGTTCTATTTATAACCCCTTGCCTTTTGATCACAGCCGTTCGTTTCGTTTTAATCTGGGCCGTTCGTTTTTGATTAAATCTGGGCTGTCCGTGCGTTTGAATCTGGGCCGTCCGATCGCGTGATTGATCTGGGCCGTCGGATCGCACCCACGCGGATCGCCAACGTGGCTCCTTTCGGAGTGACGCGATCTTGCCACGTGGCAGGCCCCGGTTGGCCGGGACTGCTGACCGGGCCTGCTGACGTGGCTGCTGACGTGGCCCCCCCCTTTTTTTTTTTTTTTTTTTTTTTTTTTTTTTTCCTCCTCCTTTCCGGGTGCTACATTGCTTCTACTCTTGTTTTAAAAGTTGGAGTTTTGTCCAGAATGAGTTATTTTTGTTTCATTTATACTTTTGTTTCTCTATGTTTTGTTTTTTTAAAAAAAAATTCAATTGTATTTCTCATTTAAAAATAATTAGTTTTAATTCGAGTGTATAAATAGTGTTTTTAATATTTTAAAAATTATAAAATATTATTTTTTATTATTTTATTTACTATTATTATTATTAGTACGTGTGTCACTGTTGTCAATATTTTTATCTTCGTCAATTTTATCGTTCTTCTTACCACCATTGTTATTGTTGTCAATATAAATAATCTTATTATTGTTAATATTATCGCGGTTTATTTTAATACCAATCATCAGTATTACCATCAAAACCATAATTACTACAATTATTCTTGCTCGAATACTAAGTAAAAATAAAATAATATGTTCATTTATATTATTTTATTCATTTTTTTAATTAAGTTTATTTAAGTATAATAAAATTAAAATCTAACTATAATAATTTATTTCATCGTATTCTATCTGACTTACGATGTCTATGATTTTTTATATATATATATAAAATTACTTAAATTTTTATTTTTTAAATTTATATATAATTCTATTTAAAAATTTAAATTAGTTAATAAAAAAAATAATGACGGAGTTTAAGATATTAATATTTTGTTAATCATATTAAAGAATCTGATTCAATTTAGTATAAATAAATAGAGATTGTCAGACTTTATAGTATTTTAAAATTTGTAAAATTTTTAATTGTATTTTTTTATTATTATTACTAATATTATTATTGTTAATATCCTTATTGATAAACAATGCTATCATCACCACTAATTTAATCTTTTTTTGCCACCATTGGTTGTTATTGTTGCCAGTATCAAATGTTATTATTGTTGCCATTGTCATTGCCCATGGCCATACCAATGATTGTCTTCGCAATTGAACAATAATTCCTATTATTCCTATTGCCAACATATTAATAAAAAAATAAGATAATATAATGATTCTTACACACTATACCAACTTTAAAAATTCAATTCTCCCAATTTATACCAAATTAGATAATAATTCTTACGCACCTATAAATTAGACATGTAGAACTATAATTTAGAAAAAATGAATCAATCAAAAAAGTTAGCACAAAATAATAATTCAGAAACCTAAATTTACTATTACGATTTAGATTTCTTCCAACAGTTCTAAACATCCCAAAATTCATAATCGCATCAATTCTCATTCAAGTCAGGCTATTTTGATGCATACGGAAAGCTTATGTGATATGGATTAGTTTATTGATTGGAACTTGGCCAAAAAGCCTATTGTCACGCAGTTCAAGTAATTTTGGTGTCTATGAAAAGTTTAAGAAGTGTAAATCATTGATTAAATTATTTGGCTAGTAGAAGCATGCCAGAAAAACTGAAGATGCCGGCTAAATATTTACTACTACACACTAATCTTATTCTACAACGGCACTGGATTTTCAAAAATTTATTTATTTATTTTTTAATTTTGGTCCGAATCATGCAGTCTTGATATTTATAGAAAGTTTAAAATATGTAAATTGTAAACAAAATAATATAGTAGACAAAAATTTACTGAAAATATAAAAAAAATATGGTCGAAATTTTACTATCTCACTATTCGTGTTTTTTCTATAATTATCCACTTCAAATTTTATCAGTTCTAATTCAAATTATGCAGTATTGATGTTTATTAAAAATTTAAGATGAACAGATTGGTTGTAGAAAATTAACACAAAAAATATAATTAAAACACCACCGCTGTAGTAACTCTTTCCTTCCTTACTTACATGTTTTCCTTTTAGGTTCTTTGTTTATATGTTATACAATGGAATTCAAATTTACAGCTTGGGAGACTTACCTTCTTGTTGTAGACGTTCTCTTCTTTTATATTGAGTTTCAAAGTCTATCGACCAATCTCTAACAATTAACTTTCCAACTCTTTTACAAAGCCTCGGCATACTTTGGTTCTTTATTTATGAAATAAGCTCCTTATTTATTGCAAATTTACAATTAGTACTTTAGAATAATTATATTATTATTTCTTTACAATTTTATATTTTCTGCTGAGTCCAAAAAATTCAGTATTTTCTCTCAAAAGAGTTCAGCTTCTTAATAAATGTTAAATGATATTTTAATATGTATCGTGCGACAGTTATAAGATTGTCAATAACGGAAACTGCATATAAATCATTCTGCTCCAAAAACACCAAAAAAGGCCATACTTTTTAACTAAGATAGTAAAAAAAACAGTAAAAAAAGTATAAGAAAAGCAAAGAACATATGAATAAATCTATTATTTATATATATTTTATAAAGAAAAAGTTACAAGATGGCCATTGCTATTTGTTTTTCTGAAATGATTAACCTGTTTGTAATTATCCTTTTGACAGTTTACTTCCATCTCTGTCTGAAGCTAGTAAACGGAACATTTTCCGAGATTGTCCCTCTTTGAACAATTCTTCCTCTTCAATCATGGATTTCTGTATCCAAGCAAATACATAACAACCCTATATTGTAAAAGAAAAATATTTTTCTCAATTACACGAGTAGGGAGGCCTAAAATAAGTGCCGAATATTTTCATCATACAAGAGTTACAAACCCCTTCCAACTTCCACTTTTATTCCACCGTTAACATTCCAAACTCACTCTTATTAACAATTGCCGAATTTCCCAAATCGATAATCACAAATCACATGGGCATCAGGAGCCGAGAACATCAGTCTTCCTATACTTCAATTTAAAGAGCCTAAATAAGTTACCATGTATGATCCTACCCAAGTCAGACCTTTCACGGTACTGGGATGAGAACAAAAGTTTTCAAAACTGAATCCAATAAATTAAGATCATAATCAAGTGTTCATCGCCGGCTAAGAGATCTTGCTCACAAGTGTGGTGGATCACTTCCCCGCTCTCTGTTAGGCAATTCCTTACTTCCAACATTATCTCTGGTGGCACGTGCACCTTGCTCAGAGAGAAATACAACTTGTTGGCTCTTAACTATAGTTGTTTCCGGTCGTCTTGCGGAAACATGCTTGTGAATTGAGTTGACTGAAGCCAGATATGATATCCCATATTTTTGTGCATGAGTTAGTCCAGGACACAGCCCCTGCAGAACATATCGATCTTGTTTGGAACAAATAAACAATAAAATTTAATTTATCTATATGTATATCAAACAAGGAAAATGTATGCTGATATTGAAATAAATCGTGATATTCAAAATATTCTGAGAGGAAAATGTACTTAGATATTGAAATGAAACATGACATTTAAATCAATTTGCAAAATCAAATTGAACTTTACATTGAAAGAAAAAGTCCATTTGGAAAAAAAGAAGAAAGCACTCGGGATTATCCACACCAAGGGCCCACAAAATTTTCTTCACCACTTCCTCCCTAAAAGGCCTCTCCACATTGAGCTCTGCCATGGTAATTAGGGCTCTAATCAATACATTCCGTAAACAGGGGATCATCACCCTCCTCCCTGTAAGGACTCCTATAGAAATCATTGATCTTTCTCACACTATAAAAAAAGGTCTTTCAAAATATTAACAGCCTCTCCAATTCCCTTACATAACTCTTCTCCTCTTTCTTTCTTTTTTTTCCCTAAAAAAAGATTGTAGAAAAGAAAAAGTTCATACAACTGTGGACAATAAGGCATCCTATCTGAACTTTCTAACAAAAAGTTTGACATGTTACACTAGGCTCATAAATAAAATTAAATGCATTCCTGGTAGGAGCTAGTAACAATAGCTGCCTAATTCCAATGTAAATCGTAGAGAGTCAAATATGCAAATTGACCATGCACCTCAATCCATGAAGACGCTTAAAAACCGTCATTCGACCCTAGAATTCGTGAGAGAAAAAACATGGATTCCTCTCCAACCAAACCTGCAAATATAGCCCCTTCAGAAGGGATCGTGCTTCCTTCCTTACTCCATCACCTTGATAAGAGAATGAGTAACACACTCCACTAAGCCGGATGCGATTGAATGAATCCCGAATAGTGCAAACAACCTTGTCCACAAAGTCCATGCCAGATCGCACTACACAAATAGGTGACTATGTCTCTCCTCACTTTGTCAGCAGATAAAGCAAATGTTTGGAGAATTGTTCCATTTGGTTGATGCCTTCATAGTTCTTCTCCTCACATTAGCAATCTATAAAAGGACTTGTATCAGTGG